CTCACAAAATTTTGCATTCCTTTCATAAAATTACAAGTTTTTTGTGCATATAAACCTTAGTTTTTAGTTAAGTATTTTTACTAAAGATTTGTCTGTGAATTTATGGAATCAGAGTCTGACTCAGTCTCTGACTAGTTTGAATGCAAGGAGATTTCCTTGTTAAGATTAAAAATATATTTTTTATTTTACAATTTTCAAATTTCATTTTCATAACCTCTAGAACCTCCTAAATGAATATCAAACGTTTTTTTTTTCTGTGAAAGTTTATATTTTATCTTTTATATTCCAAACCCTGACACTGTATACAGCTTCAGTTTATTTGACCAACCTTGTAATGACAACAAAAAAATATGAAATAAATCGACATTATCCTTTTTTTCTTACTAGAATGCCTGCATATAGTTACATACAATTACATTATTTATTCTTAGCCAAAGCTAATACAATTCAAATCCATGACCAGGTGGTTAGGGCACTTGACTCGCAGTCTGAGCATCGTGGGTTCGATTCCCCAACCCACCAAATATGCTTGCCCTTTGAGCCGTGTGGGTGTTATAATGTGACAGTTGATCCCACTATTCGGTGATAAAAGAGTAGCCCAAGAGTTGGCAGAAGGTAGTGATGACTAGCTGCCTTCCCTCTAGTCTTTCACTGCTAAATTATGGATGGCTAGTGCAGATAGCCCTCATATAGCTTTGTGCAAACTTCCAAACAAACCAAAAATATTCAAATCTCCTGGTCATTTAGATTTATTGCCACTTAGAATAGTATCAAAGTGAATTATCACTGTGAGGAAAACATTGTGTAAACATTGTGTCAAGTTACCAGCACACTCTGTCAAATTACAACGTGTTATGTTCACAAGATGTGCTCATTGAGTATTTTGGGTATTTAATTTTTCTATTTAAGCCAATACGTTTCTAATTTTTACATTTTAGTTACTTTTAGAACAATGAATAAAAATATACGTATAAAACAAGAAATTTAGTGGGTCTTGTAATTTTTTGCTTTCCAAGTCTAAATGATTTTAGTCTTCATGAAAGTTAGCCATATTTTTGTGTAGGCATATTGTTAGTACTTCACTTAATTTTTATTTACCTTAAATATGCAACTTAGAACATAAAATATTAACATGCAATAAAAAAACAATATATCTGAAACTATTATCATTCAACTGGATTTCTAACTAAGCTATATGTGTGTTAAAATAATTTTCTTAATTGGTTAAGGCAACCTTGGCAATAGCAAACTATGAAGTTGATGCAGAATAGCTGAAAAGTTTTCATACTTAAAGAAAGCAGTAACTGTTTCAACTGATTATAAATAATCCAATAACATAGGTCAGAGAGAATTATTCATAACTAGCTGGAGTACGTATGTATCTCCCCATGGACTCAACAAACCTCCATGCCAAATTTGGTGAAGATCCATTAATAGAGGACAAAGTAGTGTTAAAAACATGAAAATGCAAAAATGCCCCTAAAAACTGCAAAAGGGAAAACTCAAAATTTATGTGTATCTTCCCATGAATTTCCATATCACATTTGGGGAAAATCCATCTACAGTAGGTGAGGTAGTGGTAAAAAAAAACGTAAAAATGCCTATAAAAACTGCAAAGTGCAAAACTGAAAATTTGTATGTATCTCCCCATGGACCTGTGAACCTTTATACCAAATTTGGTAAAAATCCATCCACAGGAAGTGAGGTAAAGAAACACCAAAACGCCCATAAAAAATGCAAAACTGAAAATTTATATGTATCTCCCCATGAACCCATTGATCCTCCATATCAAATTTGGTGAAGATACATCCACACACTGTATAGTAGTTATATAGATATACAACAGACAGTACTATTATACTTATATAGATTTTTAAAGATGGTATACAAATTTCAGTTTATGCAAAAAGCTCATTAACTCTTTCAGCACAGGACCAACCTCGTAATCATTTTGTGCTTGTTAAACTTTTCATGATATAACTTTTAAATTAGTAAGCGTATGTCACCAAAATTTGGCAGATTATCCATAAATATTACAATGCTTTCATACACAAAATATCAAATTTTTTTTTATTAAGTCTTAAGGTTTGTTAAACAATGTTTTTCTTATGCCTTTTTTTCCTTTTCACATGTTGCCTATCTAACATGCAAAGTAAATTTCATTTTAAGATTAAAAATACTTTTA